AWTTTTWWYAWTTWAMYWAAAAATAACTGTGGCCGTGACTTATAAGAAGCCTGCGAATTTCTCGGAATTATAAGATTATAACCATTCGATGTTGTTTTTGGCCATGGCCCGAAATACTTATCATGCTACATTCAGGGCCGTATTTAGGGGGGAGTTACAGGGTACTGTTGCCCCGGGCGTCTGAGTAGGAGAAGGCGGCTAACTTTTTTATAATTTAAATTTGTATTTTGAATAATGATTAATGAGGCGTATTTTTTTTGTTGCCCCTTGCTGTCAAATTCCTAAATACGGCCCTGGCTACATTGCTATTGTACAGTGTCTAGGAATTCGTAACTCCATAACACCTGTTGTTGTTTTGAAATGGCCACGAAATTCATAATCCACATTTTCAATAGGATCTCGTGTTTTTAATATCAACTAATTAACTACCAACACATTAATTTGCCTATTCAACCATGACTACCACAAGATATTCTACTATAAAGTTCAAGAAAAATACTACTCTGGAGATGCATAGACTAACTACAATTTATTGTAAGCTTGTTTGTAAACTATTAATAACATGGTAAAAATATAATTGGATTATCGAAACAATTTTATTGATAAATTAAAAAAAAAAACCCATATCCYCCACCGTATATATTATATTGTTATGTTAATATACATATTATTTATATCATCATAAAATAGTATAGGTACCTACTGTTGTATCTTGTATATGAGCTGTCAGGGATCCAGATGTTAGCGGTTTTGAAATAATGGACGATATACAATTTTCAACAGTAAACAAATAATGATTTAGGTGACACTACCCAATGGTATAACCCCTCACTCAAAAGAAAAGAAGAAACAGTAATAAATAGACTACGGATAGGACACACTAGAATCACACACGGTTTCCTCATGGCCAAAGAGGAACCCCCCATCTGCACAACCTGCGGAACAAATCTCACTGTCAAGCACATCATATCGGACTGCATAAAGTATAATCAAGAAAGGATCAAACACGGGATATCRCACAACCTCGATGCAGCCCTTGGAGCCAATCACCAACTCAACGCAGATTTAATTATCTTCCTCGAGCAAACCAATATTTATAACCAAATCTAAACATGTAAGCAAACGCAATGTAAAAAGTAAAATAACTAATGGCTTTTGTTGCCGAAGTTGTAAATGATCAATAAAAATAAATAAAAATAAAAATAAAATAATGATTTATTTCTATTTTCTATTAATTAAAGCAACATATTAAAGTGTACAATTATAGTGTTGATATAAGTGGTGTGAAATGCTCAGGTGTTAATGGCTATAGCACAACTGTCCCTCGTACCTCATCAGATGTTTTCTGAACTTCATATAAACATGTCCTTTGATTGAGGATGTCCTTATGATGAATTTTTAATATCTATAATTAATATTAAGCTAATTCGTAACACGGTCAACAGTTCCTATTGTATACAATTTTATGGGATTACAAATTTATGAATAGTATGTGATTAAAACTATATAGTTTATTCTATTACTCGTTATGATTAATTGTTGTAATTCGTAGAATTAGCATATTATAGTAAATACTACATACTATTATATTCCATTATTTATTAAAACCGCTTGATGAATTCGTAGAGTTTATTGCCAGCGATAGTATGAATTTTCTTTAAACTATTTGATTTACATGATTGGTAAAGTTTGATATATTGCTTTAATTTTAGAATAAACAATGAAATTAAACATACACTCTGTTAAAATTAAGTCGGCMACTGGATCATGCGACAACAAACCCGATCCGTATAGCCCGTATATAGGTAAGCGTTATTTATCTTTACACCATTACACAATTCTCGAGGGGACGCGATGAAAAATATTCATATTTTTTATTACTTTCRCAGTCCCAAATTTTATAGAGCGTATAGTCCGGGGAGTTAAAATAAGCACTGCGAACGCATACCAACAATAACGACTGCAGACTGCAGTATACGCAAACGTAATCAGAGTGAAAAAAAATCGTCTCTCGAGATTTAGGTACCTACCCTCTCCTGCAGAATAATATAATGTGTGGCGACGCAATGTTTCCGCAAATAATATTATACATATTATGATGATATACATAATATATAGATGTTATAGTGTTATAGTACGTCCTAAATATAACCCTTCTGTAGATTGAGGTATATAACGCGCTGCAGGTATATTATAATGCTCGTTCCTGGTTTTTGACCAGGAAAAAAAGACATATTATAATGCAGACAACTGCTGTGACGTTTTGTTTTTCCAGCGAAAAGTKTTTCGTCAATGACYGAATAAAAATAAYAATTATTATAGTACTTCCCGTCTAACACGCTTGCACCTCATAACTAAAGAAGACTGCCCGACCTGTAAACTCTGTGATTAAGAACTGACGATCAAATACATCACACTAGAATGTCCAAAATTCAATAGCTCATCCAGACAAATTCTCGCGGAAAAAGCATTTGGCGAAGAAAACCCTTAAAACATAATATACATTTTTTTTCACTAACATATAGGATTAGCAAAATTAATGTAAAACAAAAAATACACTTGTACAGAATATACTCCCTCTAATGTTAATCATAATGTTTCCCCATAGGTATTTAAGACCAATATTTTGTAATTACTACAGGCTAATTACCTCAGAAGTTTAAGCATTATTAACCTAATAAATATATATATATATATATATACCTGTACTATATAGTATACAAAAACCGTATAGACGTACCTGTGTAGGACGTGTGCAGCGTAGTATAATAAAGTATTTTTCTAAGCGTGATCATCACTTTTATGTATTCCGTTGATCAGTGGCATGCTCAGGGGGGAGATAAGGGGTTATATCCCCCATTGTCTTTTTTTCCCGACCTACTGCAGAAAATAACTAATTAGTTATAGGAGCTGTTTTAGAGTTCATGACTTAATACTTTTTATTAGTTATTGACAAAAAGTTATTGTAAAATGTATTATTATTTATAATATCTCCTCCCACACTGAAAATGYCTGGGCACGCCACTGCCGTTGACGAGTGATGGCTTATAATAGT